TAGTGAATGTAAAGATTTTTTACTATAATGCATGCCCTGTAAATAATATTCAAAACTTTTTTATTTTTAAAAATTTTATTAATAACTTTTAAACTGTGACCCATTTTTAATGTACATAAAAGTTATTATTAGTATCTTTGCAGGGATTTAACTGTACATAATGTTATTTTTAAATAGTTAGGTATTCACTTAATAATTTTTTATAAGGATTAACCAACCTTAATTCAGTAAGGTTGGTGTACTCCAACTATTGGAGGAAGATATAGAGGAAAGAAGAAGAATTGGATAAAGACAGAGAAGATCGAAATGTTTTCATCACCACGTGTACCTTTAAGCAACGGAAAATTTCAACAGGGACCCTTTCAACGCTCTATTTTTAGAACGAAAGGACATTTCCGATTTTCAATATTACAAAAATAGATTTACGCGACGACTATGTAATAGATAAGGGTAAATAGCGCACACGATAGCGACTAAAAGCGTTAAGAACTCATGGTTTTGACAAATTATTGGGTTTTCCTTTGCATGAATTGGGTTTTAGAACGCTGCAATGGGCACTTGCAAGCATTGGGTTTTCCATTATTTTTATTGCGTGATCACACACATACGCAGCTTATCTGGAGCTCTGCGGTCACCATAAATTCAACAACAAATAAGTGTCTACACTAAATGTCAAGGTCAAAGTCATTCGACAGAAAAGTGTCTTTACTGTATGTCAAGCGCTACGTTACCCAACCGGTATGTGTCTGTACTACATATCAAGCACTATGTCTCCCAACAGATAAGTGTCTGGACTATATATCAAGATATAAGTCAACCAACTGATAAGTGTCTCTATTATTTGTCAAGCCCCAAGTCGCCCAACATATAAGTGTCTGCAATATATGTCAAGCTCTAAGTCACTTAACAGATAAGTGTCTGGACTATATGTCAAGATCTAAGTCAACGAACTGATATACTTTACTATATATCATGCACTAATTTACCCAAAAGATACGTGTTTGGACTATATATCAAGCTCTTACTCGCCCAAAAGATAAGTGTCTATATTATATGCTAAGCCCAAAGTCGCTCAACATGTATATTTAAGAGTCTATACTAAATCTCAATCCCTAGGTCGCCCAACAGATAAGTGTCTGTAATATACGTCAAGATCTAAGTCACTTAACAGATAAATGTCTATACTATATGTCAAGCCCCAAGTCGCCCAACAGATAAGTGTCTATAATATACGTCAAGATCTAAGTCACTTAACAAATAAATAGACAATAATAGTGTACTGACTTGACATATCAACGATATAAGGATGAGGCTTAGAAACGGGGAAATGCGAGGCTCTGCCGAGCTTTTTCCCCGTTTCGGGCCGAATCCTTATATCGTTGATATGTCAAGTCAATACACTATCATTGTCTCTATACTGCAATCTAGAAAAAAAAACATTTTCAATTGTTGTTTATTGTGTTATTGTTATTTATTTGATTTAAATATTGGGAAAAATCCCCCTTTAAAAAGGCCTCACATCTGGCGGAGAAATATACAACACAATGAAATGTACATTACCTGTTGAAACCAATCGGTGATGAAAGAATTCGTTTGAGTATGGACTAAAATATCAACAATAAGCATAAAACATGATGATTTATAGGTTTTAAACAAAAGATATTAACAAGTGATCGAAATATGTTTTTCCAACAATTGTAAAAGAAATAAGTTTGAGTCGTTCCACGCTACAGGTTGAAGCGGTCGTCATGAATATAGACAATAATAGTGTATTGACTTGACATATCAACGATATAAGGATGAGGCTTAGAAACGGGGAAATTGGAGGCTTTGCCGAGCTTTTTTTCCCGTTTCGGGCCGAATCCTTATATCGTTGATATGTCAAGTCAATACACTATCATTGTCTTTATACTGCAATCTAGAAAAAAAAACATTTTCAATTGATGTTTATTGTGCTATTGTTATTTATTTGATTTAAATATTGGGAAAAATCCCCCTTTAAAAAGGCCTCATATCTGGCGGAGAAATATACAACACAATGAAATGTACATTACCTGTTGAAACCAATCGATGGTGAACGAATTCGTTTGAGTATGGACTAAAATATCAACAATAACCATAAAAAATAATGATTTATAGGGTTTAAACAAAAAATATTAACAAGTGAAACACTTTTTTCCAACAATTGTAAAAGAAATAAGTTTGAGTCGTTCCACGCTTCGTTGTATACATTGGACACAAGGACAGGTTGAAGAGGTCGTCATGAATAATTAATTATAGTTCCGGCTCTACTATTTAAATATTCATGAGGAAAAGTGATATCGGGTCAGTAACTGTATATGATATAGAAATATACAGTCAACGCATGTTGACTGCTCAAATAGAACGAGTGCAGTATATAAGTGTCTATACTACATGTCAAGGTCTAAGTCAACCAACAGATAAGTGTCATTTCTAAATCGGTCAAACTCTAACTCGTCCAAAACACAAGTGACTTTACTATATGTCAAGCCCTAAGTCGCCCAACAGATTAGTGTCTTTTCCATTTGTCAAGCCCCAAGTCGCCCAACAGATAAGTGTCTATCGTATATGTCAAGGTCAACTTAGATATCTATTAGTCGAAAAAACATAATTGTACATTTGCCTAAATATTTGATTGATTGGGGTTTGGTTAATGTCCAGTGGCAATATTTCATGCATGTTTAGGACGAGAAGAGTATATTGAATCTGTGTTACAACATTTTCGCTAGCCAAAAGTTACGATCCAGTTCCCTCCTGTGGGGGACTGGATCGTAACCCTTGGATAGCGAGGATGGTGCTACAATGATTAATGACCAATTTCCATGAAAAGTCAACATCTGAAAGTTGTACTGGAATATTAATGAGTCTAGTATACATCACATTTAATACTTCACAATAATTTATCCATAAAAGTGGTAAACATTATTAATGAAGACAGATTTAATACACCGTTGCAAAGTAATAATGCTTTTTTGGATGCGGCATCCGCAACAAACATGAATAAACAAAGCTTTACTTCCAACAGAGTTTTGAAAAAAGTACAGATTATCCTTCTCATCTTATCCGATAATTTTTCAAAACTTTTCTTAATGTACCAAAAAAACAGCAGTTTATAACCAACTTTGGCATTCATGAGTTGGTTATATGATCATAAATTGTAAATGCCTTTTTTTTTTTTTATTAAAAATGCCATAATATTGTTAGAGCATGAAATTGCACGTATGAAATTGTTATGTTATAACTGTTACCAAAGATCATGAAGATGCATGAAAGCCTTTTAAAATTATATAACTGTTGTGAAATAAATTCAGCGGAAATTCATCTCGATTCGTTATATGTTATCTATTCAGTCATCTAAACAAAGGATGCTGATGTTTAACTATTTCCTTCGATCAGTCATCAAATCAAAGGATATTGTGTTTCCTTAACTTTTACTATACATGTATTTTCAAACAAAACTATTGATTTCGTTTTTCTGTTCATATTCGCTTGATAAATTTGTGTATTAATCATAACTTCTTACACATGCATCGATAGACTAAATACTATATTTGAATTAATTAACTAAAATCAATATTTTGAATTTATTTTTAGTCCTTCAATGTAAAACGTGTACTGTGTAACATACAATTACTTGTAAAACTCCTTCAAATAGAACTGTATGATATGGTATGAATGCCCTTTACCGTCAGGCGTCAAATGGTCATTTTCGGCTACCGTTAGCGTCAAATTGGTTAAAATTTTACCGTGATTCGTCAAAATATCCTTATCGTGATTCGTCAGAGGTCTCAACTAATAATTTTTACCGTTATTTTTGAAAAAAATTTAACGTGATTCGTCAAAATCAGTCGAATTTTTTATCGTCTTAAAGAAAGTGTACAATTTATAGTCATGCACCAAGAATTACCGTTAACGTCATATGGCAAGATTTTTTTACCGTCATTCGTCATGAAGGTATCCCCATTATGACCCTCCTGTGTGGGCTATTCTTTGATTGTTCAGTATGGAACGCCACAACTGCCTTATGATAACGATAATCATATCATTAAGTGTTGACATATAACATGAAGCACATTTTCGATACTATAACGACATTTGACTATATACTACTCTGTCAATTTTCTATATCACTAAAATAAATTTATATACTATATAGACGTTTTGATATAACATGAAGTTACCTTTTCATACTATTCTGTCATGTTACTTTGTCATGAAGATATTCTTTTATACTATGAAGACATCTTGATATAACAAGGAGCCTTTTCATACTGATTTGTCATTTTACTATACTATTCTCTCATATTACTATCTTACGACGACAAAGTCGTCTACTACAAAAACATCTTGATATAATATGGAGCCACCTTTTCATACTGTCTTATCACCTCACTATGTTATTCTGACAGATTACTATATCATAATGATACATCTTTATACTATAAAGACGTATTAATAAAACAGTAATGATGACCAAGGAATATAAAAAAAAATTGCCTCCACCCCCTTTATATATGAAAAAAGTCAATAAGTCTGGAAGAAAAAATCAAAATTTCCCCCTAAATTATACAGACCATTAGACTATCATTATAACAGCAGTGTAAGTTTGAAGTTTACTTTCATAGTGATAAAATTCTTAATTTTTAATTTGATAGTTTTTGCTGTAAAGTTCACTTATTCAGGTAATAAGCGGAGAAAAAGCAAATACCAATTTTAAAGTCTTTGGTTTGACCCGGCCGGATTTCGAATCCACGACCTCCCGCAATCGTGGCTGACACGGTACCACGAGCAAACAAATAGAGAACAATAGGCAAAAAAATAGAGAATGATATGGGGTGTTAATTAAGATATGAAGAATGGAGATTAATTGGCAAAACAGACAAAGAATAGAGACAAATAGTCTAAAATTTTATCAAATAAAGACATAAAGGACCCCGCATCCAGTCTCACATGTATATTAAAATGTTATTCATACTCACCATACTTTTTAAACCATTTTTCTGTAACCAAACTTCCATTACTAACAATAGTCACACTCGGCAGTGCCAAATCTTTCTTACAAAATCTACAGAGTTCACCAACATAGTCGCCACGCTTAACTACAAAAGGTTCTCCACCAGAGAAGTTCATTTTCTCCATACCTGCAGGATTTAAAAAAAAGTATATGCTAAATACAAACTTGGAAATTTAGTTAGCCACCAGACTGACATATCATTTGGTCCCACCTCCTCCACCCCCTCCCCGCCCTCCCTAAAACAGACAAAAATGTAATTTATATGTAAAATTATAGTCAAAATATGTTCCTCTAACTCCTTATTCTCAGGAGCGCCCCCTTTACATCAAATTCTGGATCCGCGCCTGACATCTCCTTAGGCATGGACTATTTGACTTTCGGGGGGAGGGGGGGGGTTGTTTTTTTTTAAAATAATTTGGCCTCTATTTTGACCAAAAAAAATAATCTGGCCTATTCAGTTGCTAAAAAAAATATTCTGGCTTCATGTCCTATTCCTTTGTCTTTACAAATGTTGAAAAAAAATATTCTTGCTTTGGATTGACAAAAAAAAAAATTCTTGCTCGGTTTGCATGATAAAAAAATATGGCTTGATATAAAAACCCAGCCTCCCCCAGAAAGTCAAATGGTCCATGCCTTATCTTCATATTTTTTCCAAGGGCTAGTTATCAGATAACCTTTACATTTAAATGAAGTTCCTTGAAATTAACAATGAATGAACTGTATTCGTTATGTTCCAAGTATGACTATAAATAAGGAAATGTGGGGTATGTATAAATGAGACAGCAACCCAACAACAAAATAACCTAACACATGTAAAAATGTTTTCATATGTTTTAACTTTGATTAGTAACACTCTGATTCCAAAACTTGAAATGCCTTTTTTACCGCGTTAATAAAACTTAAAAGAGTTATTCGTTGGTTCAAAACTACATAATTTTTTCGACAAACAGTAATTCATTTTCTTAACTTCCTTAAAGTTCTCAAAGAACCAATCTGTTTTGAAGTATGGTAGCTACATTAATGGTACATTACATATATAAATGTAGAAGTTATCCATACATAGATATAAGAAGATGTGGTATGAGTGCCAATGAGACAACTCTCCATCCAAGTCACAATTTGTAAAAGTAAACCATTATAGGTCAAAGTACGGCCTTTAACACGGAGCCTTGGCTCACACCGAACAGCAAGCTATAATGGGCCCAAAAAAATGGCTAGTGTAAAACCATTCAAACAGGAAAACCAACAGTCTAATCTATATAAAAAACGAGAAACACTTATGAACCACATGCTCTTTCAAGTCCCTAATTCCTCCTGGTAAGTTGGTTTAAAAATTACATTTCCGTTTACATTGTAAGACTATGTCTAGCCATGGATAAAAAAGGGGATCAGTCTTAATCTCGTCGAGTTTTATTTGATTGTAAACATAATTCTAAAAAAAGGATTTTAAGTTCCCCGGGTCCCTAACCCATACCCTCCCCCTTTCTTCTGAGTTAGCTACTCCAACTATTTCTTCATCAATCATGATAAAGGTGGTTGGGCGATGTAAGAATTTCATCATTTTTTGCCTTAAAATTATTGAATTTTCTTACCTTTTTTCTTCAGTAATTCGAGTCCTCTTTTAGCTTGTTCCAGTGGGAGAACAAACGATGTCTTAGCTGTGTGGAAACAAAATCCACAACTATAGTTACATTGTCGTGTGAAATGATAGTTCACACTTAAAGGTTTTACATTTGATTCACTTAGCGGGATCCATTCCTCTGCTGATTTAGTCTTTCCATCATTTTCCTCCTTGCGTTGGTCCGATTCTCCTACCGAAATATTGACTGTAGATATCTTTCTTTTTGGTGCATATTTTCTTGCCCCTATTCTCCGCACCACGAAAGTTGCTACTAATATGAAAACTAAAACAAATAAGCAAGAAGCAGCAATAACTGTAAGAAATAATTCCATTTTGTTTAAAAACCTGTTTTACGGCATACGAAACAATGTATATTTATGTCATTAAAACTATGTCTTGACCTGGAAATTCTCAACCATTTTCAAAAAATTGTGAATTTAGCAATATGATATGAGTATTTTTAGTTAGTGTTGTAAACCACTACATGTAGCAATACTAATTATCTAAATGACGAGTCTTATTTGATCATAAACCGACACATATAAAAGCACATTTTGAATATTATACGAGGAAATTATACGGTAACATCTGGAACTAATATAGTTCAACTTCAATGTAACATTCAAATTGAAAGTGAAAGTACAATTGCTATCAAGTTTCTGAAAAATGTACTTCCGACTTGTAACGTTAAACATCTATAAAATAAAATGATATCAGTTCTTATTTACTAAATCATATCAACTTTCAACATGTTTAAAGAGTCTTTTTCGACAAATCAGTCAAGGTGATCTTGATAAATGCATTTAAAGAGTACAAAAATCAAATCGTTTATCTATAAAATATTTTCTTCGGTCCATAGGTTGATATATTCGATTCTATTTGTAGTTGTTATTAAGAACGTGTATAATAATATATGACATACATTTGATTTCAATTTTTTATTTGTTTATGTTGTTATGCAATAAAGAAAAGGCTACCTTTTATTAAAATGCTTATTAATGTACTTGAGATAGTACAGAATGATGTTGCTGTTTAAGTCAAACGTTTATTTTTTTTAATATGTTTCAATCATGTATGGGAAATCAAAATACGTTCTCAAAGAAACGACTTATTGCTATGGGGAATATATTAGTGAGGGTGGTAAAGGAGGGAGAGGGGTGCTTGCACGGAAAAAACGTGAAATAAGACATAATTTCACGTAGAACGTGAAATAATTACTGTCATGAACGTAGTACGAAAAATAAAGAACCTTTTGTGACTGAGTCACTGTCTTCTTGTATATATAAAATCTCTGTTTTACTTGTTACTCCCGATTTAGTATACACATTTATGATGTAAATGGTTAACGGCTTTTAAAAAAGCATTTCTGGACGATTCCTGCCAAGTATTTGAATTTTATTTGAAAAATACCGAGCACGCAAAAGAGCATTTAAAAATCACGATGCACGTAAAATTAAATAAGCAGAACACGTTGAACGAGGCACCTGTCTTGCACGACTGAACGTCAAATAAAAAAGTAAAAACACGTTGAACGTGAAAAGAAAAACGGCGATCACGTTGCACGAAAATAACCCTTTACCACACTCATTAGTGTAAATATTCATGAAGATTTATGGAAAATCTGTATCTAATTTTATACAAATTATTACAAGTGTTGACACAGATCAGTGCGGATAGTGCTGTGATGACAATAGTTGCCTGTTTCATATTACTAGGGTTTAAATTATCATTACTTTTATCAAGTTACAATCATTGTTAATGTGTTAACAATTGGTCTAGATCTTTTATGAAATGTGCAAATTTGAGAGTAGTATGTAATTCATGTGTAAATAGATATAAGATGTGGTATGAGTGCCAATGAGACAACTCTCCATCCAAGTCAACATTTATAAAAGTAAACCATAATAGGTCAAAGTACGGTCTTCAACACGGAGCCTTGGCTCACACCGAACAGTAAGCTATAAAGGGCCCCAAAAATTACTAGTGTAAAACATTCAAACGGGAAAACCAACGGTCTAATCTATATAAACAACGAGAAACGAGAAACACTTATGAACCACATCAACAAACGACAACTACTGAACATCAGATTCCTGACTTAGGACAGGTGCAAACAAATGCAGCGGGTTTAAACGTTTTAATGGTACCAAACCTTCACCCTTTTTCTGAAACAATAGTGTAACATCACAAAATAGAAAGACACACTATAAAATATCAACTGAAATAGCTTAACTCAATCAAAGGACATATTAACACCAGTGAACATACACTGAACAAATAAATTTGACCTATGATACAATGTAAATACAAATAAATAAACTAAGGGAAGAGTAATAAAAGTAACATGTTATATCGGTATGAAATGTTAAACAATTTAAGCAAAACAATATCCTCGAACAAAAATATCAGCCATTTGCAATTACTTTTAACACAAGTAAATGAAAATAATTTTGTTGTTAGGTATACGTGTACAGTTCCAATAGAGAAAGGAAATTATTTACAAAACAAATAATTTTGATGTTCATAGTACGAAGTGAACATTTATAGTAATACCAAACACTTATCAAAGCTGGTATATAGACCAGATATAACCCTGAATAACTTTAAATAACAAAAAAGCATTACAATTAGTATCAACAGGTCAAATAAACAAGAAAGTACGATTTGAGAGTACTAAGACTTTTCATGTTAATATAGAAAATTATGTGTTTTATCATATTTACGGCTGTATTCTCTAAAAATACTATATTTTTGTTTGATTCATTTTTTTCAACTTTGACACATAAGGGGAGATAACTCAGATAGTAGGGGAGATAACCCAGATAAAGTAATTCTTATAATAGAAAGTGATGTGAATTTACTTATTATAATATGTAGCAAGAAAACAAGTCCGGTGACCCCATTTTTTCTTTTTCTTATCTGAAAGCATGTTATAAGAGCTATCTTCTCACATTTTGTCTTCAAATTCTATGTTGTAGTTTTCTTTTTAGAACACAAAATTGGATTTTCCATGCATAATCTGTACAAAATCTGACAATTTTGCACAACCTGTAGCGTGAAAAAAAGTCCGGTGACCCATACTTTTTATTATATTTTGGAAAAAAGCATGATACAAACTACATGTTGACAAATTATTAAAAAATTCTATGGATTTTAGTTAAGACCCCCCATCCACCTTAAATGGAATCGTTTAGTTTGAATATTGAACGTTTGTCTAATTTCGGTTTTGGTTTGTTTATGGTGGCACGGTAGTATTTCCTGGCCCATGGGGATAATGATAGCCTTTTTAGAATTTTCACCACTTTCCAACACCGCCCAAAATTATACTGAAGTACTTTCAATATAATATTCAAAAATTAATTTGAATATGTATGACAACCGTTTACTTTTTTGCTATCTTTATAAAGCTAAGGCCATTATTGCTTTTATGTCTTTTATCATGCAGTGAATACAAAATTAAAAAAAAATCTTAAAAATTCATTTTCACCTGTATGTAAAATTATTTTGTATTTTTCTACACCTGATTCATCCCTTAGTTTGGGAAAGAATTTTCAGTAGATACTGTATTTTTTGTCCAATCATACTGTTCAGATACATTGACTTCAGTAGGGTACACAAAAGAGCAACCTAAATTCCGGGATGTAAATACTACAGTGTAATACCTTAACAAAGACATAACAAACTTGAAACCAGTCATGACACTTATGATGCATAGACTTCTTCATAGGAAACATATATTACAATAAAGACTACTAGTATTTCTTACCCCCAAAAAATAAAAAAATTATACCCCTACCCCAGCTGGCTGATTTTCTCTATTTTTTCATCTTACCACTTTTACTTAAGGAGTGAACAAAAACCAAATATATACTGTTTCAAATAAGCACAGAAGTAAATAAATGGTGATACACGAGGAATTATTGGATTGCTAACTCTATTTCTAGTTAATCTGACTGAAAGAAACAATATAAATACCAAATCATGAAAAAAGATAGTAAAGTCCGTTCCACATTTTACAGCATGCCTTACGTTCCTTTAAGCATTTTCCAGATTATGTAGGCAACATAACAAGATTCTTAAGATGGCAGCTGTAAACTATTGTTCTAAAATCTTTTTGACAATACATGTACTAGAATATATCTCTAAGTTGGCTGTTTGTCTCTTTCTCATGTATGCATTAAGTCAAATTATGTCTCCTTTCATAATCAGTTTACCTTTTTTGTGCTTTTCAGGGTCAGAAAATCAAAACAATTCATTGCATTTGCATAGAAAATAAATAAACTATCTAATCTATCTGACATACAATGATAATCACATTATTTGTCCAAGACAATTGTTCGCACCCTTTTTATAGGTTTTGTGTTTAATACATTTTTAATCGTGTTTAAGTAAATGTATTGCTATCAATAAGTTTTTTTGTATTGTTTCCTTTGGTGTTTTAGTTTGTTCCTTTAGTGAGATCCCCCCCAGTTTTTGAAGGGGTTCGTGTTGCTCAGTCTTTAGTTTTCTATGTTGTGTTTTGTGTACTATAGTTTGTCTTATAGTGTTTTGTGTACTATAGTTTGTCTAATAGTGTTTTGTGTACTATAGTTTGTCTAATAGTGTTTTGTGTACTATAGTTTGTCTTATAGTGTTTTGTGTACTATAGTTTGTCTTATAGTGTTTTGTGTACTATAGTTTGTCTAATAGTGTTTTGTGTACTATAGTTTGTCTAATAGTGTTTGTGTACTATAGTTTGTCTTTTAGTGTTTTGTGTACTATAGTGTGTCTAATAGTGTTTTGTGTACTATAGTGTGTCTTATAGTGTTTTGTGTACTATAGTGTGTCTTATAGTGTTTTGTGTACTATAGTTTGTTTTATAGTGTTTTGTGTACTATAGTTTGTCTTATAGTGTTTTGTGTACTATAGTTTGTCTTATAGTGTTGTGTGTACTATAGTTTGTCTAATAGTGTTTTGTGTACTATAGTTTGTCTTATAGTGTTTTGTGCACTATAGTTTGTCTAATAGTGTTTTGTGTACTATAGTTTGTCTAATAGTGTTTGTGTACTATAGTTTGTCTTATAGTGTTTTGTGTACTATAGTTTGTCTAATAGTGTTTTGTGTACTATAGTGTGTCTTATAGTGTTTTGTGTACTATAGTGTGTCTTATAATGTTTTGTGTACTATAGTTTGTCTTATAGTGTTTTGTGTACTATAGTTTGTAGTCTTATAGTGTTTTGTGTACTATAGTTTGTCTTATAGTGTTTTGTGTACTATAGTTTGTCTTATAGTGTTTTGTGTACTATAGTTTGTCTTTTGTGTACTATAGTTTGTCTTATAGTGTTTTGTGTACTATAGTTTGTCTTATAGTGTTTTGTGTACTATAGTTTGTCTTTTGTGTACTATAGTTTGTCTTTTGTGTACTATAGTTTGTCTTATAGTGTTTTGTGTACTATAGTTTGTCTAATAGTGTTTTGTGTACTATAGTGTGTCTTATAGTGTTTTGTGTACTATAGTGTGTCTTATAATGTTTTGTGTACTATAGTTTGTCTTATAGTGTTTTGTGTACTATAGTTTGTAGTCTTATAGTGTTTTGTGTACTATAGTTTGTCTTATAGTGTTTTGTGTACTATAGTTTGTCTTATAGTGTTTTGTGTACTATAGTTTGTCTTTTGTGTACTATAGTTTGTCT